GTTATATTTAGTTTCCCAGTGTTATTATAATTATATATAAGCCTAAAATACCTAATTTTATGCATTGCAATCTTTCATGTAAAGGTTGGGGAGAGGTTTTACCTCGAAAATGAAATGTGCTTATGCAAACATTCTGTGGCACAGATGGCTTGTGGAAGAAGTACTCATGTTATTTCAAGAGTCAAGCAAAATATGGGCATGACAGTCTATGACATTCCTTCAGGAAAAGTAGATCAGAGAAAAAGTGATTGGGCTTCTGTAGTTTTCTCAGTTGCTAAGGTACCATATTTTAAGTTATCATGTTTTGAGTCTTGACATTGGCAAAGAACACATAATCCCACCAGCAATGGAAATGACAGAGTAGAAATAAAGAGCCCTGAGAGTTTCGTACAATCATGGTGCTCATCCATATTTGTAAAGAGCAAGTGGGGAGCCCTTAAAAACAGTTTTCATTGGCTGATTTGTATTCAAAAGGGCATATTATATAGTGTGAATTGTGAAGAATATGGACTTAAAATTGGTTTTTCCCACCCTCCAATTGTTACTGGTGAAGCAGTGGCCTAGAAGAGATGACCTAGGTTCTTTGTCTCATGCAAAAGAATAATTTCCATACAAAAAAAGGCAGAGAGAAAAGCTGGATTTATTTAAGTCAGAAACCTCTTTCCCAAGTGGCCAGGAGTGGGGCTACAAGAGACAGAGACCCAAGGGGTTGGTAGTAATGGAGCTTTTAAGCACAGTTTTGGAGGAAAAACCTGAGAATCAGCTAACAATCACTTACAAGATGGGGACAAAACCCATCAGGAGTCCAGGTTTGGAATCTTATCTTTCTTGTGTAGCTTGTTTCTTATAAGGCTAAAATCCATTAGAAGGGTAAAATCACCACTCCCTTGCTAATTCAAGATGAAACTGGAAGCTCCCAAGGAGTGGAATAGGCATTTTGACCTTGCTGTGGATCACATTTGGGGAAGGCAACCATTTTGTACTCTCTTAGAGGGACGCCCCTTCATTTTCCACAGGGACCAACCTAACTTCCTATTGACCCATATGACTGATCAAGCAATCATTTCTTTCATGCTCTGAATAACATTCTTTTCCAATCGTAACGTCATAGAAGAGATTGTGCAGCTTTCTGGTCTCTTCCAATTATTGAAAGTGCTAATGCCCAATTTTAGAATTTCATTTCATATACATTAATTGCTTTTGCTTTTTCTTCTCTACACAGACCTCTGCTGATTGAGGAGCTAAGAGTGGGGAGAGACAGGGATTTGGGGATAGCTTCTGCTAGTTTTTAAAATCAAATAAGAAGCATGTAGGAATGGCAGGTCTTATTTTATATGTTTTATGAAGGCTGCATGTTATTGTATTAGTATGATTCTCCCTGCTACTGGTCAGCTCAATCCACACAATTACCTAACATGCACACTTTCATTGTTTTTTAAAACAATGATGAGCTTTACCTCCTGTCAATTTTATTATCCAGGGGTCTTTTGTCTAGGGAGAATTTAGTCTATCTGCTTCTAAGATCCTCACTGTCACTCTCAATGATGAATTTCCTTTTTGATTTGCTGTTTTGCTATTCTCACAGTTCATTCTGTATTTTCTGTTTTCCATATACATGGAAAACCCAAAAACCAATGATGTCTTATCCATTTGCCTCTAAAGACCACCTCCCAGGGTCACTGTATCGCTAGAAATTTCAACTTTTGTGGAACAAGTTATATAGTAAACCACAATGCCACCTTTGGAAATCTCTACAGTGGAAGTGATCCCCATTTTATTAGAATTGTTTTTTCAACCACTAATGCACTGTTCCCCACCCCTACCTCACTATTTGAGGTTTCCCAAGAACACTGATCAGTCTTCTCTCTTCCAGTGCAACATCAAGGTAGTCTGCTGATTTGCTATTAGCCAGTATCATTTGAGATTGGAATGCCAGTCTCTCCTCATTCACTGAGCTCCCTTATTTTGCATGAATGAAAGAGGAATGAAACTATTTATTTATGAATAAACCATGGACAGGAAGGGGGAGCCTCTAGCCCTAACACTACATTTCTTACAATAAAGACCTTAAATTGCCTCTCACATACAAAACATGTTTCTTATTCTGAATTTGGGACATCTTTTGGAGAAGCTTGTTCATAGTATGAATTACTGCATACTTTTATTTAATCATGTTCTTAAGAAATAGTGAAGTTAGTGTACAATTGAATAAATAGTAACCTGTTATAACAGATTCTATTGCTAACGACCTTGTTTTCCATGAATCATCACCATATCTAATATTCTTTTCTTCTTCTTTTTTTTTTTTTTTGTTCTGAGACCTCCAAAGAACTTCCTCAATTCCCAAGGCATGTGGAACAGCAGTGGCATATCATTTAGTTATATTACTTTGCCTAGACTGATATTAAAAATATTTCCAACTTAAATGTAATTTAAGTCACTCCAAAATATATCTGTTTAATCTCATCATTCTGCCACAGATGCCTTTTATAATGTTAACCTTGGTATTTAATTTTTAATTGTTATTTTGTCCATTCAACCAACTGATGGTGACATCCATTATGTTCATAGTATTGAGCAATGCTCTGGAGATTGGAACATGACCAGGCATCCCCAGTGCCCTATGTCAAAATGGGATAAGAAAAACATAGATATTCAAATAAATAAAAATAAAGATAAGCAATGGAGTAACTAAAGAAATGCTATTAGGAAAAAACACAACTGGGGCTACTTTAAACATGGTAATTAGGGTAGACCTCTTGGATGAGCTGATGTTTAACTGAGATGAGTAGAAGGACAAAGAGGCAGACAAGGTGAAGGTGGAGAGAACTGTAATTAAGGTGCAGGGAAGGATAGTGTTGAGCCTTTGGTGTGTGGAGAAGTATGTGATTGTGTGATTCTAGGGAATGGCATAGGGTCAGCATCACCAGGCTTTACTGAGAAATGTAGTAACTCCCATAGGATCTTAGAAGCCCTGTAAAGGATTTTACTTATATTCACAGTACAATGACAAGCAGAAAAGTAAAATGATACAATTAAAAATATGATTTTGATTTCTTTATACATAAAAATTATACTAGAACAACAATGAAAACAACAGGAGAACTGTCTATTGTAATGATGGACAAGAGATGTTGATAACCAGGACAAGGATGGTAGCAAAACAAACAGAGAGATGATGCTGTGGATTGAATCATATGCCCCCGTCTGTTTTCATATTTTGAGGCTTTAATAGCCCATAATGTCAAAAGACTTAGGTCCTCATTTCATAGCACTGAGGTCCTTGTAAGAGAAAGACGTAAGAGTTCCTTTCTTCTGACTGCCCTGTAAGGACATACTAAGACAGGGGAGGTCTACAGGCCACTGGCACCTTGATGTTGGACTTCCTGGGCTCCAGAATTGTGAGAAATAGATTTCTGTCATTTAAGACACCTCGTCTGTGGTATTTTGTTATAGTAGTTTGAGTAGACTAAAATGGATTGCGGATTATTTTACAGATAGCATTCTTAGGATTTATAGCAGATGTGTATGGATGATGAAATAATAAAATCAAGATGACATCCAATTTTGTTTTGTTTCCTTCTTACCTTCTTCTTTCTTCTTTCCTTTCTTCCTTTCATTATTTATTGATTTATTTTTGTCTTCACCACCTGGGATAGTGATGGCAGTATTTGTAGTATTTTATTGGTAATAAAAATACTGGAAGAAAATAAATCTTTTTGACAGGAAGGAATGAATTGACACTTCTGTTCTGAACATGTCTATTTGGATGTCTCTGAGATATGCAAGATTAGATGTCAAGGAGGTGTTTGGATACACAGTTCTGGATCCCAGAGGAGAGGTCTTGGCTAGGAAGGAAAATGTTGAAGTTGTCATCATGGAGATCATCTGTGAAGTAATAGGAATATGAGACCATATAGCTATTGTATAAACAGAGATGAAAAGTAAAATTTAGATAGAAATTTGGAGAGAAAATGGATAAAAGTATAGTAAGAGGAAAAGAAGAAAAATCCACCAAAGGAGTCTACTACTAAAGAATGTACCAAGGCGAAACTGTGATTTTTCACCTTATTAGTATTTTTAATTTTTTTTTTTTTTTTAATTTGACAGGTAGAGTTATAGACAGTGAGAGAGACAGAGAGAAAGGTCTTCCTTCTGTTGGTTCACTCCCCAAATGGCGGCTATAGCCGGCGCTGCGCCAATCCAAAGCCAGGAGCCAGCTGCTTCATCCTGGTCTCCCATGCGGGTGCAGGGGCCCAAGCACTTGGGCCATCCTCCACCGCACTCCCGGGCCACAGCAGAGAGCTGGACTGGAAGAGGAGCCACTGGGACTAGAACCTGGCACCCATAAGGGATGCCAGTGCGGCAGGCGGAGGATTAAGTGAGCCACGGCGCCAGCCCCTCACCTTATTAATATTGAAGGAGCTGCAGAAATAAAAAGAATTTCAAACTAGGTTTCAAAATGAATGAAAACTGAGAAAAGGAAACAATATGTTTCAGAAAATATGTTTATGTTAATTTTATGGTGAAGAGAAACACATATGAGACATGGATCATGTAATGAATTTTTATGTGTGTAATATAATTTGCATTTATTTATTTCTTAGCTATTTGAAAGATCAAAGATTTCAGAATACATTCTGTAAAGATAGACATAATCTAATAATAAGGGAAATGATTGATGTTTCAGGGTGACCACATTACTGACATCCTTAAGAAAGATGTAAAAGATGTGACCAACGCTGACATATAAGTATCAGGTAGTCTTTAGCAGGAAGAAGATCCACTAGCTACACTTTAATAGGAAGGAAAAAATGTCAAGATGTATACAATTACAATAAGGTTTATAGATTTCATGCTGAAAATGTGAGGGAGTTAGTAAACAAATGTTTTTATTAAGATTGAGTTGCCAGGATTTGGCCTAAGTTTTAGTCGCTTCTCATACAGTATTACTGTATTCTTCCCAATGGTTGTTCTACAATGATTATTCTTTTCCCTAGATTTGGCAATGTGGAGGCTCACTGGAGATTGTAACTTGCTCCCATGTTGGACATGTTTTTCGGAAGGCAACTCCATATACTTTTCCTGGTGGCACAGGCCATGTCATCAACAAGAACAATAGGAGACTGGCAGAAGTCTGGATGGATGAATTTAAAGATTTCTTCTATATCATATCTCCAGGTACACAAGCCTGATGCTGTTCTTCCTTTGTGTAGGAAAAAATTCAAAATTCAGTATTTTAAATATGTGTTTGGTTATTACTATTTTTGAATTGAATATTGTATATATACCAGAGTATAATAGAAAATCCAGTATGAGGATGTTGTACCACATAGTAAATTTTTATCTAAAATTAGAAATACTATTTCTAAAATGCCTAAATGTTCCATTTTCTTTATAATTCTTTAGATTTTCCCCAAGTGTCATATTACATGTTTCCAAAAACTAAAACAAGGGGAAAAATAAGAATACAGGATGAAAAAAATGTTACCTTCAAGATTTTAAATTCCAGAATAGGAGACAAAAGTAAAAATTAATTTAGCAATTATTGTACTTTATTGATAACATAATTTTAAGTGTTATAATTTGGATAGTTTTCATTTAGGCCTTATAGTCATTAGTGCCAATATTGCATTACCCAAAGAATAACAACAAAAATTCATGCCTACATCCTTTTTTCCTATTACCTTCCAAAAAACCAGATTCTGGTTGGCATGCTCTGATTTGTGAAGGTACTAATTTTAGATAATTAAAATTGCTCTTTTATGGACAAATACAAAGAGAAAGATCACAGTGAACTTTTTTCAAGTCACAGCATTATTGTACAGGGAAGAAAAATGAGGGCATTATTTATGAAATCTGTCATTAGAAGGGCTTTTTCACACATTTTCAAGCTTCTTCTCTGTCAAAGAGCTATTGCTGGGAATACTATTTCACAAGTAGATACATTTCTCAGCAGAGTAGAAATCCAGTCCAGATGTTCACAGAGTTGAGTTCAGCTAGAGCATGTAAAATTCGCAGCAAAGCAGTGACATTTATAAAACCTTTTCATTTTCGTTTGATAATGTCTTTTGAATTCAAATCATTACTTACAGAAATATATAAGCTCAAATATGAATAAGCGAGTAATGGAGGAAAGAAGTATGTTACGTGTGATTACATCCAACTTACATTCAGGAATATGAGTCATTGACAATAACTATATCCATATGTTATAGTTCTTGATGCATTTTGAATATTATTTGTGAAAAGTGATGTTAGTATGGAATTGAAGGGAAATGTCCTCTTTGTCCTCTGAAAGTTCAATGGAATGAACTGGAAATGAATGGATTAAATATGAGAAAAGGCAATCATATTTATTAGTGTGCAAAAGGAAAAAAAAAATCACAGGAGTTTGACTACCCAGTAGCCAGCAAATTTAGTAATGAATATATTCCTTTTTCTACAGAGGAGGAGGAGAATGGGGGATGTCAGGGTATTTGTACATGATTTTTAGGGGGATTCAGTGAACTTTGATAACACAAAATGGACGAGGACAAAGTCTTTTGGATCCACAAAAGAAACAATGGATTCTCTTCCATTTTCCATGGGACTGAAATAGAAAACAGTGGTGTGTGGCAAAGTTCGTCCAGGTCTGTTGACTTCAGTCTTTCTTCCTTTGATTTGAGCTTAGTTATCAAAACATCAAGGAAGAGATCAGTAGTTTTTAAGGTCTTTAATTGCCTTTAGATTAAATTGCTCAGGATGCTGTATCGTACCACATATGTAGCAGGTGTGTTTTCTGAGCTTCCCCCCACCATTAGTCTTCTGTATAATTTTCCCCTGAATGAAAAAGGGAACTAAGTGAGAGAACCAATTCTCAAACTATAGTGAAATCACATGCTTTAAAGATTAAAGGGTGAAAAAAAAAAACCTGCTATCTGGAACTCATGATTTCATGTTGCTCTGCAGGGACTGTTTGTATTTCTTGAAAATTGTAGTTTTAATATTATAATAAATATCATTTGAAATGTTATTGTTCTTATAAAATGGGCTCATTGAAGTCCAGAAAGGTACTTTAGGAAACAGAAAAAAGACATTTTGGCACTATGCTAAAAATACCTAGAAATTTCCTAAGGGGCATTTATGTCTTTGAGACAGTCAGCATTGCTGTACAGGGTGAAATCTGCCTGCTATAGTGAGAGCAACGCGATGAAACCAAAAATATGAAACAATAAATTGCCTCTCAGTAGAAATGGAAGAATGGAAGTGGGCTAGAAACTAGAGCTGGATGCCTAAAAGCAAGTGTCGCCATAGGCAACTTTCAAATCATCCCAAAACAGATACAGTCGGCTGTGTTATAGAAGTCAGGAATCTGTCATTTTTATAATAAAAAAAGTCATTATTTATTTATGCTCTAGATTCTAGTGGTTTGTGTAGCAAAATCAAAACCATGGATTTCTTTGCTATTCCCTAGAATTTTTTATTTTCTCATTTTTCATAATCTTGGGATATGGTTGAATTTGTAGAGAGGAATTGTGTGTGTGTGTTACATACATTTATATCCACACTTGAAATTATATCCTTTACTATGAAATATATACACATGTACAATTATGAAAAACCCTAAGAAATTTATACTGAATTCTCTATAAGTTCCTTAACAATATGACTAATTGCTCTGGTACTGTTTTGATGAACTCCTGTGTTTCTATTACTTTGTATATCAAGTTTTGTGAGGAGATCACCACATTTTACAAATGGGTTTAAATCACTGAATTTATTCTTCACTCATACAGTTGGTCAAAATTCAGTCTTTAATTTCTGAGCCTTTGTGAGTAAATTTTTGACAACTTTGCTGCCTTATAATATACTCTGTAATATATTACCTGCCTCCTTTATTGATTGGCTTCATGGATGCTTCTACTTCAGTCTTCAACTATCTGGCTTTTCTTTCTCTCTGGAATGTGTATTCTCTGAAGTCTTACACCTTGGTCGTCTCATCATTGCCCCTTATTCTATTGTTTTAACTTTTATACCTTGTCTCTATATCCAGAGTAGTTCAGGCAATTATGTTTTCAGTGCCCATCAACTTTCACATCACTTTTTAGTCCTTGAAAAAAAATTACTGAGAAATTAGAAGAATGAGTCAATTAATAAGGCAATGAATGAATTTTTAAGAGGGAGCCAGTTGTACAGACTTCATAAAGAAAGGAAGAACGGGAGATAGAAGGAGGAGGACAGGAGGGAAGGAGGGTAGGAAGCATCATATTCTTAGAATTATATTTATGAACTACATAGAATCTCTTAATGTTAACATCACATTAACATGAGAATTGATGAGAATTGTGTTGTAGTGCTTATCATGTATTTGCTGTGACCTTGAGGATCTAATGTATTAATACATTCTTTTTTAATTTTAATAAATATAAATTTTAAAAGTACAACTTTTGGATTATAGCGGTTTTCCCCCCATAACCACCCTCTCACCCACAAACCATCCCATTTCCTACTCCCTCTCCCATCCCATTCTTCATTAAGATTCATTTTTAATTATCTTTATATACAGATCAACTTAGTATATACTAAGTAAAGATTTCAACAGTTTGTACCCACACAGACACACAAAGTATAAAGTACTGTTTGAAGACTAGTTTTACCATTAATTCGCATAGCACAACACATTAAGGACAAAGATCCTACATGGGGAATAAGTGCACAGTGACTCCCATAATAAGAGTATCAAGTGTTAATAGGTTCTTTTAAAAAATACAATGAAAGAAAAGTTTTTTTTAAATGTTTTAGGAAAGTAGAGTTAAAAAATAAGTTTGTTTTGATACAAAAAATTTGAAACCATGCATAGTTATATTGTTAATTTTTATGTATTTTCTTTGATTGTCAAAAAGATCTTCGCATGACTTTCAAAAGTTTTTGTAACAAAGTAAACTTACCTTTGAATTCCATTTTCCATGAACTTTTTAAATGACCTCAAAAGACAGGCCAACTATGTTACACAATGCAATTGTCTAACAGAGCAGTAAAATTCCAAAGCCCTGAAAATTACTTCCATACTTGTTAATTGTTACTTTTCCCATGACACCCAGTTACTTCAATCTTAAAAATGGAATTAATCAGGCTGGTATGGTGTCATAGCAGGTAAAACCTCTTCCTGAGATACAGGTATCCCATATGGCCACTGGTTTGTGTTCTGGTGGCTCCACTTCCAATCCAGTTCCCTACTAATGGCCTGGGAAAAGCAGTAGAAGATGGCCCAAGTGTTTGGGCCCCTGCCTACCATATGGGAGACCTAGAAGAAGCTCCTGGCTCCTGGCTCCTGGCTTTGGCCTGGCCCAGCACTAGTCAGTTCAACCATTTGAGTAGTGAACTAGCATATGAAAGATCCTTCTCTGTGTCTCTCCCTATCTCTATATAACTATGACTTACAAATAAATAAATAATTTTAAAATAGAATTGATAAGTAGCTACATGTGTGAATTACTGTCATCTGACTTTTTCCACAAAGTTTATTTCATGTTCTGATTATCTTACCCTATGCCTGTTAGCCACTTGCCAGTGTTGGAGTTGGTGATGTCTAAGCATGTCTCCAAAATGGGTACATAAAAGAGAAATAGACTAGTGTTGAAGAATAGATCTGTGAAATTTGTTTAGTTCAGTTTCAGGCTCTTTTTAAGGATGCAAATGGTATAGCATCTTCGATTTTTAAAGCCCTCTAGGCTCTTAAAGCCTGAGGCAGTTTTTACTAGTAATTGGGCTGCTTCAGCTTGAGCTGATCTGACTGTCCTAGCAAATCCTTTGAAATGAAATGATGTAAGCAGAAACTGCTCTTCTCAGAACACTCCATTATAAATGGTAACTGTTCTTTCTATTTGTCACAGGTAAAAAGCTTAAGAACCTTAGAATAGAGTGTAGTCATAACATTAACCATATATTTGAAATGCTGGATGCCCTATACATATTGATTTTTCTCCTTTAGAGAGGTGGATTTCTAAGTGTGTGTCAATAGACATGGTGATTAGAAGCAGCTGTCCTTATAGAATACCAGCTTCATTTTCTTCCTTTTTCTTAACGGACAAGAGTGTGCTCTTGTTTTGGGCACAAACAAATTGAAAACAAAATTTGAAGATTCCAGAAGCATACCTTTAAAGACATTTATTTATAACTGGGAAAATAGCTTATATTCT